GTGGGGGGTGAGAGGATTCACCATAAACAGAGTAGGGAGCAGAACAGGCAGACTGACGAAGTACACTGCTGAGGGGAGCAGCGGGCGGATCAGGAGAGGTCTGCCAGCCATGTGGGTCACCTCTGGGGCGAAGATCGAATTCATGCTGAAGTGGCTTTAGCTTCTTAGTGCTGTGCTTTAACCTGCTGTGCCACCAGGAAGGGCCACTTTGACCTTTTTTTATTAAGATCATTCTTGAATATATACTTGTAAGTTTGGATACTGCTGTTTCATTGGATAAAAGGTATGCCGTTTGCAGTCTAAATTTACATTTACTGTTTCATATTCTGTGAACCAAATTATGAGGGACCAAATAATTAACATAACTGTTGAGGAAATCATGATCAGTGTAGCCATGGACAAGTGTTATACTCAACCCTTAGTGTTTTTGAACCAACCTCAAACAGGCCTGTTATACAAACCATATTTCTTGAATTGTAGCTGGATGAATTAAGATTTTGTACTTTTTCTTAACCATTTGTACGTACAAATATGTTTGAAAGACTGTTATAAAGTGTTCCTTAATACTTAAACTTCAGATACTATTCAAGGGCAGATGCAGAAAACGCCATGCGGTACATAAATGGAACTCGTCTGGATGATCGCATCATTCGCACAGACTGGGACGCAGGCTTTAAGGAGGGCAGGCAGTATGGCCGTGGGCGATCTGGGGGCCAGGTATGCCAGAAGGCCTCTGGGCTCAGCCTTCACCTGGGGTTCTGATCTCTAAGTATTTTGCTCTTTTGAAAATAACTTTTTGCCTAAAATCTTGGCTTCAAGTGAATCTGAAACCACCTACAGGGATTGGTGAGGTTTTTGAGTATTCCCTATACATTTCTACAAGCCACCACTAGTGGCCTACTAGAGGGTAGATATTTCCCACTTGCAAGAATGTCTGAAACAAAAGCAAACTACATTGAAATTAGTTTTTTGTAAATAATTTAAATGCATGTTCTTTGGAAGATTTTGAATGCTGGTTAAATAGTCTTAGATGATTGAGTGTTATTTAAAAAAAAAATGTCCTGCTTGAATATCACTGTGATTGCAAAATACTTTAGGTCTGATGTATTGGTGGGAGGCATATTTGTTACATGAGTCTTCTATATGCTATAATTTGTATTCTCTTTAATTAAGGTGCGAGATGAGTATCGGGAAGATTATGATGCTGGGAGAGGCGGCTATGGAAAACTAGCCCAAAACCAGTGAGTGGTGAGAGCCCCATCATGAAAAACAGTCCCTTAGCCTGTTGAATATGTTGACATTTATTACCCAAGGTCTACAAATCTGCCCATTTTTACCAAGCTTTGATCAATGTCTCTGCCAAGCCAGAAGCCTCTTCATAAGAAATTATTAAAGGACAGCATCCAAAAATATGCCTTTGATTCTACAGTCTTAGGATCTTGGCAATGTGTCAGGTTTCCAGAATGAGTTTCTGTTACCAGGGTAAAAATTGTGTTCCTTGGCAACAGATTCATTCTATATTGTTGATCGATCTATGAACCAAAATATCATGCTTCTTTTAGGGCTGGAAAAGTTTAACCTGTTTACTATGTTTCAGTAAGTTCATGGTCAACATTTGGACCTGGAATAACATTTTTTCAGTTTTAAATTTGCATGAGACAAAGCTTAATAAATGGAGTTTTATTTTTGTTCTAACTTAGGAGTAGGTGTTTGATAACCAGTTTGATTTTCTGTATTGAATTCTAATCTCTAAAGGCAAATTTAGACAGCAAGAGGACTTCTTAAATAGTTGGTGCAAAAGCGAGCCTTAGACAATTAATTCCAGGGGATACCACTGGCTTACATACTTTATATCAGAAAATTAGATACAGGACTTGAAGGCTATTTACCAAACACATTTTTCAAAAGATAAATGTTATACCTAAAGCAAAAAAAAGAAAAAAAGAAGGCACGGGGTTTGTATAAGTACAACTCTTAAATGGGGGCGGGGGTGACACTGTCAATAAGTGAAGAGCTGTAAGTTAAAACAATACCTTGGCATCATGAAGGTTGCTGTAAGGGCCACCAGGTTTATTCTCTTCATTTGCAAAGTGATCTTGGTATTGGAGTGGACTTAAAAATAAGGCTTGAAGATCTAGAAAATACTTAAAAGATCAGCAGTGCTTCTCTTAGGAAATGTGTTTTGGCCAATTCTCATACTGACCTTTTTTTTCCCCTAATGGTGCTTACTGAGCTTCAGAGCCTTAATAGTGAGCTGATGGCCTCTACAGAGAAGGGAAATCTACAGAGTTTATTTTGCATTTGTAAAGCAAGAGGTGGTTTTTCTCTGATATATGTGAACTGTTGCTCTTTGAAGCTGCAGTCTAGTATAATTTCCCTGATGTAAGTGGAATGTTCATCTAGCAACAGAGCATATCCTAACTTCAGTAATTGTGAAAGCTGGGGCTAAAGTATCTCAGTGTGAGCATCTTTCATGTACACTAAGTGTAGATTTTTCTCATTAAATTTGGTTATCTGAATTTTTTAAAAATGCTTAGGAAAAAACACAATTGCAACATTTAATTTAATGAGGATATACTTTTCATTTAAATTTTTTTACACTATAGTGTGAATTAATGTATTTTATATTCTTTTGTAGTAAAACATAACTCCAGTATCTACAGGCCTTAAAACCACAGTCAGTGGTTCCTATCTGAATTGTGTCTTCTGTACTAGCCTTCAATAAAGTTGGACCAACTTACTGTCTGTGCCCTTTCCTTACATGTAAAGGACATTGGACTCTGACTATGAAATATTATGACTGATTGCATTATGGGAGGAAATCTATAAATAATGTGTAGAATTTGCATGTCTATTTTGATCTAACATTTACCTGGTAGAGTAGCCACTGCCATGTAGCTATTTAACTAAAAGAAAGCATTCAGTTCTTCAGTCACACTGGCCACATTTCACAAATTCAGTGGCCACATGTGACTAGTGGCTATTGTAGTGGATGAAAATACAGAGCATTTTCATCATTACATGAAATTCCAATGGATGGTGGACTGCTTAGAGCCTACACTCATTGCTGTTCTTAACGCTCTGTCATAAAGTAGAATATCTTTGGGAAAAATTGCTATTCAATAGCACGTTATTCAACACAGAACACACATTTATAAAGGCATTTAGTTTATTTTTCAAAAAAATATTTTTGCTAGAAGGTTTGAGTAATTTTACATGATCACAATCCTTAAATAAATCCTTTTTCTGACCAAAAAAGTATCACTTAAGTGAACAGCTTGTCTAGATCTGCTTTTGTAATACCCAAATACAGTTTACACTTCTCTGATACTATTCCTTAGGCCTTTCTTAATTATCTACAGGCCAGAAGGCAGAGCCTAACACATACCAAAGTATGTGCTTATAACTGCTGATTAGTTCAGTTTCTTAACATATTTAAGCAGAGCGGGTTGTCAGTATATCTTATTCACACTATTAATAAACTGTTCCTGCCAGAGGTCCCATTACCTTTTCTAACCCAGGGAAACACAATTGTAGAAAAGGAGGGCATTTCAACTTAAGCTAATGCTGGCTGTGTCCCTGTTGTTTTGTTCCAACGATGAATTCAAGATGATCATTGTCATTTGTGTTCAGTGATAAGTAGGTAGCATTTTCAAATTAAAAAAGTGATACGGATTATTGGCAGCATCTGCTGCTTTTTCCTTAAGAGAAAATTGGTTCTCTAGGGTTCTTGAGAAAACTGAACTAAAAGTTGAATCAAGCCTACATTCATTGCTATAGATTTAACAAGAGGAAAAAAGCACTGAAAAGAAACAACTGTAGCCCGGTGTTTGCTGGTGGAGAGGTCTGGGCAGCTTGTTAAAGGCACATCATATGTAGCTTTTGGTTTCTACAGGCCTTAACCCCAAAAGCGTGAGATCTCCCCCACTTGTCACACCCACCCAGCTCAATGCCCAGCTAGTGACAGTCCGATGCCTCTTTTTTCTACCAAGAGCCCAGACTACATCAAAAATGTCTTCGTTGCAAGGAAGCCATTTTTGTGAACAGGACAAGGACCATTCTAATGTGCTAAATAGATTTATACCTAAGTCACAGGAAGAGGTGGTATGACACACAGTTGAGTGTGCTAAAACCAAGTTTCACTGAATGACAGAGAAATAGTTTAAACAAACTAAATATTTGACATTTAGGTTAAATCATGCTGGACAGTGCACCTCAGGTATTCCACTAGCTGGAAGTGAAGGAGGAAGCAGACCAGAACTGCTTACTTAAGTTCTCTCTGCTAATCCATGTGTGCCTCAGTGCCGAGGACAGCCATTTCACATACTGTAGGAAACAGCAACTCAAGCTTTGGTCATTAAAATTAAGATTCTTGCCAGAATACAATTCTGTCTCTGCCGCATGCCTAGTTCTGTCAGTGAGAAAGAATGTTGTGGAACTCAAAGTACAGGACATTTCGAATAGCCTAGCTACACTGCTTAGCTACCCCCAAAAGGTAGGCAAGGCAGATGTTTCCATACAGGTATAAAAAAATCTCATGTTTGCTTAATCCTGTCTGACAATCTCAAGACATCCGCCCCACTTTTAATTGTCATCTTTCGTAATGCTGACACAATCCTACCTGTAGCAGCATAAAGTGCCTCTAATCTCAGCCTCTAAGGACTTGAAGCACAGTAACAATACTGACCTGGTTTTATCCTGAGGAGTCTGGGGGAGTTAGGAAAGGGCTGTTTACATTGTAAACACTGGTGTTGATACTGGAATATGTGGGGACAGGAACCCTGTATGTAAACACATTCTGACTCCACCTCTCAACTGCCAGCAGTCAGCCTTAAGGTCAAATTATGCTGCACTAGCTTCCCATTTCAACACCCCACACCTAACTGTTCAAATATCACAAGTGCCTTCTGCCATTTACTGTACAAGCCTCTGAGTTTTTTATATACACTGTTGTTCATCCAGCCCTGGTTCAGAAAAGATAATTGGGTGTGTTTAACATGCGTCTTTCCTTAGTTCCTTTCAAAATATTCCAAAAAGATTAACGATGCGAATCCTAGTGCAGCTAAGTGTAAGGACAGGGCCACTGCTGCCTTTCCTCAAAGAATGAGGTTCATAGAAGGGAAAAAAACAACTGTGCTAGAGCCTCAGGGCTGGTCAAGCAGAGGCCAGAGGAGGAGCCCTGCTGCCACTGAGGTCACTGAAGAGCTAAGAGAAGAATCACTAACGCACCAGTCTCCTATGGAGTCCTCCATACCTTCCTCTTCTCCCGGCCACCTGCCAAGCACCTGAAGTCAGTCTTCAGTTTTTAATGTTTTTATCTTAAATAACTTTGAAATAGAAAGGCATTTGGTAAGTCTTAATTTCTTCCATGTGGGAGACAAGGGAAGAGACAATTGCATATTACTCTTAGAAAGGCTGTATTCTCATGTATTTGACCACTAGGTTTGAAGAATGTAAAGTTTTTAAAGGGTCAAAACCAAAAATCCAGGGAATCCAATTTTCCAGCAAAAGCCTTTGTAAGATTAACCATTTATTGTCATTCTTCTTAAAAACAAAATTGAAAACTCTCATGTGTTAAGATAACAGGCCCCCAAGGTCATTGTCTTTTTTCATATCTTAATCAACTCTTCCCACAGAAGACACTGCTCACAAGTTTGCCTCTGTGAGTAGAAAACACCAGTCAGTTTACAGCCACTTCCTTGTCACCCTCAAAAGGAATGCATCTCCCTCTCCAAGACTCCAGTGGAGAGGGAAGTCAGTGAAAGGTGCCTCTGGTAAAAGTAAAACAGGACTGGCTTTGTCAAACCCACTCCTAGCTACCCTTGTAGAAGAACATCTATTCTCAGAGTTACGTTGTAACAAAAACATACTGCATTTTTAGGTTCTGGGAGTAAATTTTAAACCTGTATTCAGTTCACATCTAACTAAGTTTCAAAAGCTGCACCAAATCTACTAGGCTTTTTTTTTTTTAATACTCTGCACTGCATGCTCTGTCTATATGCATGCGTTTGGATAATAAATATTAAATATGGGGGAACACACAGAATCCATAAAATTAAAAATGAAACCAAACTGAACATTAAAAAATAGTATATGGTAGCTAGAGAAATGAATAAGGGCAAAAAATAAATTTGAGGTAACAAAAGTGGCCCAACACCACTGATCTGAAATATCTGTAAAAACCCAAATAAGTGTTTGGAGATTCAAGTAACAAACCATCTGCTCCAACTTGGTCAGGCTTCCCAGAGTCCCTGCTGAGTTTCAGTCCATGAGCCGGCACTCACACAGCTCCTTGTAAATCCTCTTCCGCACTCGGGGCATGTCTTCTTGGGAAAACTGGAAAGGCTGCTCTAAGGCGAGGCACTTGCAGTACTGCAGAGGTGGAAGAAATGCTTGAGCACTATGTGACCTGCAGGACCAGCCCAGGTGAGGACCTAGCACAGCAGGGGTCTAAGGTGGCATTTTAGTTTGTTTTAAACTTGTCAAACAACAGTGTGAGACATTCATATCCAAATTACAGTCAACTATACAGGCAAGTACATGGCTTGGGATCTCCCTCCCTCTCAACACAGTGAAAAGCTGAAACTACTGATAAGGCTCAAATTCTCAAAGTACAACCTGCTGACATGCAGCCAGGCCTAAGAAGCCTCATTCATTCATGAGCCTTTTAAATGAGCCCATCTTCCAAGATCTAGCATGTTTCTATATTTCTAAAGTCATGGATTATATTCTAAAATTTCCCTCATAAATGTTTAACAAATATTTCAATAGACTTTTAGATCACTGAGGAAAGAAACCTTAGAGTGAAAGCACAGATTTTTAGTGTAGCCTTTATTCAAAATCTAGTATTAGTTTAAGGGGCCTCTCTGATGGCCCAGGGATTAAAGTTCAGTGCTATCAAGCTATCGCCAGCCACTGTGACATAAATTCAATCCCCAGCCAGGGAGCAAACCCACCTGGCGAGGCAAACTTCTGTCTCTCTTGCTGCTCAACAATGTATTTCAGTAGATCGGCTTGCTCTACTCCCCTACTCTTGTCTCTGGTGAATCCTCTTACACTCCAAACCACTGGCCTACACCCCAGCTCTTATATGCACAAGTAAATAAAAATAAGTCTTTAAAAAAAAAAACTCTAGTTAGTTTAAAGGAAATCTGGTTTTCACTCTGGTTAAAGAACATTTGCCAAATGTTAAAAATTCATTGTTAACTCTGCAAATATCAAGGATCTATGATATGGACCAATTCGGGTCTGATAAGATACAGAAGATATAATTTATTCATTCTTGGCCTTAGAAAGTGGCTCTTTCTAAAGAGAGCATTTGAAAATGTAGAAACTACTGTTTTTCAACATTTGAAAGGGGGGGAGGGGAATTCCTGTTATCTGTACCTAGTACCATGTACAAATCATAGACTTTCCATCTCCTCTAAAACTAGCATATTTAATTCACACCTTATAAATTCTGAAAAAAGATGTATCTTTACCTGGAGCACGAAAACTCCACAGTCACTGTCATTTTTCTGTTGTGGAATACACTAGAGGAGAAAAACAAAACAAAAAAATTAAAACAAGACCAAGGACTCTTCAAAAGTATTTTATGGAAGCAAAATAGTGTCCCAAGGAAAAGTATTTCTATGGAAAAATAATTGAGGCAGGAAACATGTCTATCCAGGACAGCTGGTATATACCTCTGGTATTTTAAGCATCTAATTTTATGGCAGTATCTGGCCACATGAAAAGAGCT